AAACTGTCTAAAAAAAATTATAAAAGTGCATAAGGATTAAATATTAAAGATTAAAACTCCAGAGATTAAAGATCTTCTATGTTGAATTAGAAATCAGCAAAAAGAATAATGTTCCTATAAATTTACCACTGATTTCAAATTTGATGAATTCATTATTCTTAAAGAATCTAAGATAATTCAAAATCATCATGAAGAAGAGAAAAGTATGGATTTCCAAGTAAAGATAGGAGTGTGGATCCATATGTATACTTTCATGTCTTCTGAAACTCCCCAGGTAAAGGTGGTAAAGAGATATTTTTAAACTTTAACTCACCCAAACAAAAAGATGTGGAAGAGGTGACAAAAGGCTTGGAGAGAAGCCATAAGAATAATAGGTGATGCAGCAGACCCAATGCAGCAAGAGAGATCTCAGAGAAGCAACCTAACTTACCTACAGGCCCCTGGAAAGGTCAGAACTAGCAGTCTCACTTTGGGAGGAAAAGTCAAGTAAATGTTCAGAACAGGAAGACTTGGGGGAAGTCTAACCAGCAGTTTGATCGCATCCCCTTCCACACACACAGGCAATTGCCCTGCCCCAGCCTAGCAGGAGACACGTGAGGTGAAACATAAGGTGTCTGGGCTAGGGGAGATTCCGCATCATTGAGGGCAGGGATGGTTCATGGAGAGAGAGAAATTAAAAGATTTCCAAACTAAATGCTGAGATTCTTCCATGCCTCTTCTGCAACTCAACTCATAAAATATAGACAGCTGTGTCTACACTCCAGACTGAAGACTAGAAGATAATTCTCTGGGAATAATTTTCCTCCAAGAGGAAAGTCATTAAAAAAGAAAAAAAAAAAAGAAAAGAAAAATACTGACTGAGAGGTTTCCCAAAGAAGTGACCTAGTAATATAGCCTTACAGCTAATAAGTCATCCGTTCAGTTTTTTACTGTCTATTAAGGAGTCAACCAAGGATCACCAGATGTCTGAGGAAAGTCTTTAAAACAAACAGGCAAATGCAACCTAGGGATGGGAGTATGAAAGCTGATGGAAGAGGAGAACAGATTCCATGCAAATAGAAGGAAATGTCAAAAATTACCCATAGATATTGCATTCACAACACAAGACCAGGATGTTATTTAAAATCACAAAATAGAAGGAACATTCAGGGAGTAAAAAAAAAAAAAAGCACTTGGAAACTAAATACAGAAGAAATGAAAAACTAACTGAAAGGTTAAAATACAAAGTAGAGGAAATTTGTTAGAAAGTATTAGGAAAATATGAAATTATAGACAAAAGAGAGAAAATAAATGTAGAGAAACAATGCAAGAGTTCCAAAATCCAAACAATAGGAATTATAGAAAGAACTGAGAAAATAAAAGAAATCATCAATAAAGTAACTCAAGAAAATTGTCCAGCACTGAAGGACAAGAATTTCAGGGATTCAAAGTACCTACTAAGTATCTAGTATAATGGATAAGAAGAAACTCATGTGAAGTTCTATCACAGAACACTAGCAACAAAGTAAAGACCTTACAAGCTCAAGCTTCCAGAGGGAATGACAGGTCACATACAAAGATCAGGAATAATTATGGCTTCCTGATCTTTTTGATAATTTATTTTGAATATAATTTGATAATTTATAATTATCAATATAAATCAATTATCAAAATAATCAATATAAATTATTTATAATTATAATTAATTTTGATAATTTATAATTATCAAATTCATTAATGTTATATATTTTAAGATATTTTAAAAAATTAAAATTGATCATGTAAGAGCTATTCCTTTTGTCATGTAACTTACTTAGACAGCACTTTTTCTTCCAGTCTTCTACAGAATGTCAATTTATATGACATTGTATAAACAAGAGATAAAAATGAGATGTAGCCAAATAAATCAAATGTGATTTTTATAAAAAATGAAAATCAAAGTCCAAAATATTTTTAAAGCTATAATCTTAAACACAGACTACGTCTATATGTCTCATAGCTCTCAATTTTATATCCACTTGTCAAATGGCAGCAGTAGAAAATGTAGCCAGGATCTTTCCCCCCAAGTCCCCTTCTTCCATCATTTGAAAGTGATGACATTCTCATACCACTGTTTCGTCCCAAGCCCCAGGATCCTCTGCAATCTCTCCACTCTCTATTATCTTAGGTCACCATCACATTTCCAAATTGCCTGAATCCTATAAGTTCTTCACCCTACCAGCAGAGTGATCATTCTAAAATTTAAAGTCAGTCACAGTCCTTTTTTGCTTAAAACTTTTCAATGGTTCCCACTACCTTTAGGAAGATAAGGTCGAAACTCCTTAACTAAATATGTAAGACTTTCATGATCTGGCCTCAAGTTACCTCTTGAGTTCATTTGTTAACACTTCCAAAATGCTTTTACCATCCCACCCGACCTCTAGGTCCCACTCAGCCACACTGAAGTCCAGGACAGTGAAGTCACACTCAGGTTGCTCTCGTCTGAGCCTCTGCATCACTGTGCCCTTGATTCTAGAAGTTGTTATACTAAAGGGGTGTGTGTGTGTGTGTGTGTGTGTGTGTGTGTATGTATGTATTAAATATATATTAAATATATAGATATTAAAATATATATTATCTATAAAAGTTATGTACAAGTTCATGCCTGTACATTTATACACAAATGTACATGCTTTTAAAACTTGTGAAAAGGGCCTCCCTGGTGGCACAAAGGGTTAAGCACAGCACTATGAAGCTATATGCAACCTCTGCAGCATGAGTTCTATCCCTGGCCAGCCATGAAGCTACCCACATGGCACAGCAGACCTCTCCTGTCTTGCCTGCTGCTCCCCTCAGCAGTGTATTTCAGTCAATCTGCCTGTTCCCCTCCCCACTCTGTCTCTGGTGAATCCTCTCATCCCCACATTTCTGGCCTGTACCCCAATTCTTGTATGCATAAATAAATAAATCTTTTTTAAAAATTGCGAATAATTCTGACCATCTTTACAAGTTCCGTGAACACCAATTTCAGAGGCCACTTTAAGAATCCCTTCCTTGGGCCTCCCCGGTGGCGGTGGCGCAGCGGTTAAGCACTGGGTTGCGCCTCTGCAGCACCGGTTTGATCCCCAGCCATAAGCGCAAGCGAGGGTTCCACATGGTGGACAGACCTCTCCTGCTGCCCGCTGCTCCCCTCAGCAGTCTGCCTGTTCTGTTCCCTGCTCTGGCTCTGGTGAATTCTCTCACCCTCCCGTGCTTCTGACTGTACCCAGTGCGTGTATAAATAAATAAATAAATCTTAAAAAAAAAAAAAAAAAAAAAAGAATTCCTTCCTTAAGGTACAAGTAAGTTTATAGCTGATATCAAGAAGTTCTGAAATACATAATTCACATTTTTTTGCACACATATTAATAGCAACCAATCATTAACGTTAACTGGAATGTTCTCTATGGTCCTTCTTCCCAAAGAAAGTTAAATTATCATCTTAAAGTTGGTTTCCCTGAGAAGGGGTTACTCTAGTATAAAACATACCTTCACTGTTCTCAGAACAGTGAGATCCTAGAATTTGAATACTTGTGTTTCAAAAGAATGCCTGAGCAGGCTGCTACAAAAAAAAGACAAAACTTAAAAAAATTTGGAAGATATTAGATGAACAGCTGTGTAGAAAAGGGAATATAAAAATAAAAACTGAATGTTGGAGCATCAAAATAGTAACCATGTACAGTATATGACTGTTTTTAATCAGATGAAGATTGAAGCTATTACATTTCAAATCAAATGTTATAAATTAGTTCAAGAATGCAGCTGAGCTCTCATTTAATTAGAAATGTCCATGTTTAAATCATGAGGTACAGTAGCTGCCAATGAAGCAAAAGGGCAAGGGAAGGGAGAAATACTATGTCCAGACTCTCCGACTGTCAACTGTCTCTTATGCAGGACAAACATCTGGGGTGGAATAGTCCTGATGTAATGAAGAACTTCATGTACCAGCTAATTTGAGATTTAATGTAATTGAACATAATTGTTTTGAAGACAATTAAAATCATTATTCTGGTCTGGACAATTCTGAACTCTTCATTTTTGTGTGAAATGGATTTCGCCCCATGCTAAATTTTAACTCTTTCTTGGGTGAAAAGCAAAGCAGACTTTGGGCCAAGATTTTCTTGCAAAATAATCTGTAGATTCTCGGGTCATGTTAAAATGCAACACAAGCAGAGAGGTGCTCCTTTGGAAACCCGTCTCACCCCCTGTATTTCAGCTACTCAGTGTAGCTAGCAGACCAGATCTACATTCCCAACGTTAGACAACTCACTATTAAATAAAAGTGAAACAACATCATAGAGGGATTTCTGAGGTCATACAGAAAAGAATGCAATTATCCTAAAGCAAACTTTTCCCCAAAGGTTATGAGCCTCTGCATCTCGTAATTAACCGTGGTGCAGCTAGACAGTCCAGGCCAAAGGTCTTTTCTCCCAATTTGCCTAATTCAAAAACACCTCAAGTGACATAGCTTGAATTTTCCAAATTAAACTTACCCCTGGGGCTGAAATCAAGCATGTGACAGTTCAGTTCTAAAGAAAATCTTAAAGAGAGTCATGTATAGGGATAAAAGAAAAAAAATCAGAGGAAAAGGGGGTAGGAGTTAACATTTAAGTGGTTTTTCAACCTCATCATTACCTCTGCTTGAGAAAATAGGACACAGATGGGCAGAACACACTAGCGTTCTGCCCTGAAGAGTCTAAGGAACTCATTAGAAACTACTGCCGTTTCCCCATGCTCTATGGTGAATTTTTAAAGGGACAAAATGATCGATTTGCCACATCCTACAACATTCAGTGTTCCAAAGTATCCTGGGGTGGCAAGTGAAAGGACGAGTCATAAAGACACAGTGTGCCACTGCCACCCATGAAAGCCAATTGTTGATATAATTCTTCAAGGTCGACTTTTCCCAGGGAGTTGAGCAGTGATTATATTGTCGCAAGCTGTTCTGATTTGTAAAAACGGTTTCCATTAAGGAATAACACACGACCCCAACTTTCTCTTACGTCTGGCCACAGCACCACACTCTTCCACTCCGACACCACAGAGAGGGTAGATGGGAACCAGGTCCACTGCTCCCAGGCAAGGGTGGATCCCCTCTTGAACCCCCATATCAACAGACTGGAAGGCCTCCACGCAGGCAGCCAGAACACAATTGCCTTAAATTTGTAAAAAAAAAAAAAAAAAAGTCATTAAACTTTCAATCGCACCTAAAGAGGCAGCTATTTATTGTCCCACCAGTTGCTTTCCTTTTGTTATCTGTATAGATTATATTGTTTTTACATGCAAACTAAAGAAAAATAAAAGATCCAATAATTCACTTTGTCTAGCCTCTCAACTGTCGTAGTTTCATTTTTTGTTAGTTCTTATGGAGGAACTATACAATGTTTATCAGTTTTAAACAACTTTGCTAGTTTTTTTTATAATTGGTTACTTCTATTTGTTTTAATGTTATCAAATTAATCTAATAAGATTCCTTAATATCAGACTGTTTCATGAATAATTATATTAAAATGTACAAACAGAAAATTTTTTAAAGCATATTTATTTTAGTTTTGCCCTTGTTCAGTCATTACATTTTTCATTGAATTACTATACTAAATATTTTATCTACATCTTGTAGACATCTAAGAGTTTTATATTACTATTCTGAGTTTTCATTAACAGTGCAGCATGACTATTTTAGTTACAGAGATAAACAACAAAGAAGGAAATTTTACATCTTATGATTAACATTCAAGAGAATCCATCCTATGTTTGCTGGGAGTTATCAGTCAGTTCTTTGTCTCCAAATAAACATCTTTTGAAGGAAAGCAGTATGCAAGGTTGAAATCAAGCTTATTTTGAGAAAATTTTGAACCCTTTACTAAGCAATATTAAGACAGTATAGGTTTTTGTGTAGTTATGATTGTTCAAATTCAAGTTATCCCACTAAACCTTATGATGTCCCATGAGACATGAAGCCCATTTCATTTCAACCCATGAACCAATTCAGTATTTCAGACTCCGCTCCCAAAACACAATTGCTTAGCATGTCATTCCATGTCAATTTATCAATGAAATCAAGGCTGACTTCAACACTATTACTTCTCAGATTAAAATTTGAAGATGTTTTTCTTAACCACAAAGGATATAGAATGATCTTGTGGTAAAAAATATTATTAAATCTTGGACAAGGTTCATTTTAATAACAAGGAAATTAGAAATGCTTGAGATCTTCAGAAAAATGATGAAATGCAGTTTTGAGGTAGACTATGTAAGAGAAGGGAGTAGTAAGATTTATACAAGAAATCAATGATTAAAGAACATTCAGATCTATCTGAAGCCCAGTCTCAATATATATCTATGTCTATATAAAGAAATTGAAAACCTACCTAACTCATTAATAGAGCCTGCTATTGTGATGACTGATCTGTTGTAGTCTTGATCAGAAAATATGTTGAGCACTGATACTTCAGGATGTTTCTGTCCTATAAGGAAATATAGCACATAAATGCAAGAACTTCTTTTTCTACAATGAAACCTTACAAGTTTATTACTTCTCATACAACTAGTTTAGTAGAAAAATTCTGGGATGTGATCTTTGAATTGATATTGGCTATTCATGAAATTCATGGGTAGCACTGGTCTATACCCAGACTGATAGCTCAGACACTGGCCTTGGGTGTGCATGCAAGACCTTCTATTAGGCTTGCTACTGTGTTTGCCAAAGTTTTCTTAATTCCATCTAAGAAGATGATCTATTCTTTCAATTGCCAAATCCTATCACTCTAAATTCTGCTCCTTATCAATCTCATCTTCTAGGCCTTAACAATGGATCCTTCCAAAATGCAGAAATCAAACTGGCAGGATCAAAATCTCACATCTGGAAGATGTAGGATAGAGGAACCAGTGCCTACAGCAGGGGGTTCTCGGATGCACCTGTCTTAAATGTTGGGACTCCACATTCTCCTTTTCAGAGGCCACCAACAGCCTTCAGAAGTTAACGACTTCCAGCTTTCTGTGGCTTGTGACTCACTTGAATGTGTAACCTGGAGGAGAAAGCTGCCCTATGCTTGTATGGCAACCACACATAACCCCAAAGTTATTTTTGAAGTTTACAAGCCTGGTTCAGACTCTTTAAAAGTTCCCCTTAAGCCTACAAAAGCAAATTCAAAGTGAAGGACAAAAGTTTTCAGGCAGTAATTAAACCTTTAGCTATGCTATTATACCTTTGTCGCCCTGTCCCCTGGCAGCTTTACAATTAATCTTTTCAGAGGAAAGGAAAAATAGTCACATGCACGAACTACAGCAGCCCTACACTATTAATTTTAATAATGTGAAAAGATAAACATATGTCACCCACTCATAGTCAAATGAGCATCTGTAGAGCTCACCAGTGTATAACCTGGTGTGGGTATAAAATTTATAACTCAGGTTTCTTTACCTAAGAACTTTTAGGCAATTTTTTTTCACATAGCTTAATTAGAAAAAATATAGATAATACAATTTTATTCCACTTAAAAAAAATGCCTTTAGGATATTTGTAAAACAACAGCTCATTTTCTTAACCAGGGCTACCTTCTCTGCATTTGTAAAACTATAAAAGCAGCAGTGAGAACGAGATTATACACCCTCCTATTTTATGTATTTTTTCAACATACTCCAGCTCCTGGAAGAAAAGAGATGATTTGATTTTTCCATCCTAAATCATCTCTGAAAAGCTTTTATTCTCAGTTTCATATGATTCAATTGAATCAAATGTTGAAAGGATAAAACACTCTTTCTTGCAATTTCTTAAGCCAGCATATAGGGGGGAAAATCCTTCTGGCGGGAGGAGCTGTCAGTATGAATCTCAGCAGAAGTAAATTGTTTGGTATTTGTAATGGAGTATAATAGCTATAATTCCATTTGAGCTGCTACCACTAATATGCTGATAAAAACTGTGAGTTGAGACCCAGGCGTCCATCAGTGTGTGGTTGCCACAAATGTCTCTGCACATTCACTTAATCACAGAGACAGGTAACTCAATCCCATTAGATGCACTGTGTCTGAAATGGAGGGGCCCAAGCTGGCTCTTCCTGTAAAGAGAATGCAAAAGCACAGCTGCACACTGACTCCAGAGGCGTTTTCTTATCACCGATTATCAGGAATTTTCATAGACATTTCCAGCTCCTGCCAAGTTGCAAGACAGTAACTTAATGTGTTCATCGTTGCTAGAAATGAACTGGGGGAAAACACTTCTTTCTCCTGAAAAGCAGTAATCAAACCCAAAACGACAATCTGAAACCAAAATGTAATTCCTCCAATGCTTCAGGGCTGTGACCCTAATGCTCACCTGTTGCCAACAAAAGTGATTGATTTAATAACAAAGCATTACAATTAAATCTGTAAGTAACGCTGTGCTTTGTGTGTGGAAGTAAAAACAAATGACACTAGAACTATGTGTCATCACATGAACATTTTAACAAGGGTTTTTAAAAAGACAGAAAAAGAGAAGTGTCTCTTATAGTAAATACTGGCCCAGGGAGAAAGGAGGCTTGAATTGCTGAGTGATCTCATGCACATCACTTAAATGCAATGCCAAGAGTCTTTATACAAAGAAAATGGAGTAGAAATAACAAAGCTATAATGATAGCATGGGTTTCGCTGGCAGGAGTGCTTTGAAAAGTAGTTGGTATTTGGCAAGTTTATTTTTTATTTAACCTGCTGAACAAAAAGCATAACGTACAATTATGCTCATTCTATTAATGATCGAATAAATGGCCCACAAGGGAAACATTAAACCTTTATGTAAATATATCCTCCTCCGGAGCCTGTGAACGTCCTGAAATCCTAAGCAATATGTATCTCAGACACTCGTTGTGAAGAACCCCGCTGCTGAGCAGTGCATATGCAGGCATTTGCAAAAGAACATACACATGTGCACCTCTGGGTAGCTGATCTAGCTCAGATCCTGGAGTCCCACAGAAGCTCTAACAGCCCAAGAACTTGGGGGTTGAGAGAGGAATCTAGGAAGAGAGGTGTGTTCCACAGATACTCTCTGCAGAGCACCAAAATTATGGTACTATCGAAACACTACATGCTCGTCTCAATTGTCTGTTGCTCCTACCATTTTTCCCAAGAGCTGCTTTTGCTATGTTCTCAACAATGTGTTTTCTTCTGGCTTCTGAAATGTTTAGTAAACAGGCAGCCAAACGGAGCCCCAGTCTGGAAGAAGACATGGCGATTTTTCTAGAATAAGAGAAAAGAGATTCTTCATTTCAGTCTCTACAGTTCATTCATATTTTCATGTTCATTAGCCACAAAAAAATCACAGTTTTTTGAAAACCAAGCAGTTATAATACAAACATTCACTATGTTGTTCCTAGAGAACACCTAAAGGATAAAATCCTGGGGCTGACTCACCAGGAAACCATATGTATGTGGTCATGCACACACGAACATGCGAACATAGTGACACCAGAAAATATCTGACAAGTTATTCTGCCTGATCTGTCACTTCAGTGAAACTTTTTCATTAAAGTATATTCCTTTTTAAGGGAATATCCTTGTTTTTCCTTATTCTTGCTTTCAAGGTCTGTACTACTTAACAAATAACCCTGATCCTTTTGTTAAACCAGACTTAGTGTGGAAATGAAGAAAAGAGGAAACAGGGAGGTTATTTATTATGCTCATTCTTATGAAACTATTTTTGTGGCAAAAAGGAAAGTTATCTCTATGGGTCATGCCACAGGAAGTGGCATAAACGAATAGAGGGATTCATTTAGGTGCTTCAAAGGACAAGGACTTGACTAAGCTCCTCTTGTACTTTGATTTCCAAAGTTTCTAAATCAGTTTAAAATTGAAGGACTTTTGAACTGAAAGTTGATAAACACTCTGATGTTACTCAATAATGCCCCAAAATGTGACAAATTTTTGTTCAAATGAATGAATTATATAAGTATGGGAGGTTGTTTTGATACCTGTTTCTAGAAAAGCCTCTTTCAACTCATTATCTTTCAATACGTAAATGATATTATGAACTGAAGAAATTAAAATAGCTCCATATAATAAGAATTTCCCTTTTCAAAATCAGGCCATCATATTTTGGGCTTTTTTAAATTTCCTGTCTAAAAATTAATGTGGCCTTCATGAATTCATTCACCAAATGTTGCGGGGTTGGGGGGGGGGCATTCTAATGCTCTCTGTGTGGGGGACACTACAGTGAATGGTGTCTGACTCTGAGATACACATGAAGCTTATGAGTTTAAGCGAAACTTGCTCTGGGCTCTTGTATATGTATTCTGCCCTATTAATTATTGCTGACAAATAAACCTGCTACAGATGAATAGAAACAATTAGAATTTTCTTTTAAACTGTGCTCTGGGGCAAATAATCCCGGCTCTCCATGCATTAATCCCCTGGCTCCTGCTCACTAAGATGGTTGATTGGCCTGATCATTCTAACCTAGAAGGCAAAGGTTTCACGGCAGGCTCAGGATTGTAGACAGGTTTTCATATTGTGACCATCATCTCATAATTGAAAATTCATAAAAACACAGTCATTAGGTTTTTCTAGACATTAATAAGATTGTTGTAATAAAGCAGCTCAGACCTCTCTCGTTTTTATGTAAACAAAAAATTGCTTTACACAAGGGGTGTGGGCGTCTTCTGGCTTTCATTTGTTTTCAGTGTGTTTATGTAGCTTAATTGTCTCATCAGGCACTTTCCCAACATAATTATGCTTTTTAACAAATGGTGTTTATGGCAACCCCTAACAGTGCAAAAGAAAGGATTAGTTTCATCCTCTCATTCCACATTTTGATTCCCTGTGGACAGCTAAATCACACAAAGATGGTGTTAGAAAAATCTACCTTCACAGCAAAAGCTGAAATTAGCGGCAGTACCAGGCTTTGGGGGAGCAGTCAGGCTTGTTAGTAAAAAAGATAAGCATTTCTCTCCCTTCTGTAAGAAAGTGACCCAGAACAAGTCCCCCACTTTGTGGCGTGGGAGAGTGCGATCCTAGCTCGCCCAGCCCTTCAATCACCTTTCCCTTACTTCCCTCGGGCTACAGACCAGCCAGACCGGCCTCCTCGTCCCGGGAGCACCACCAGGGCCGGCGCAGAGGGCAGCAGCTGCCACGGAGCCGTCCGATCTCTCGCCCCCGGCGCACGCACCACCACCAGCCCTTGCAGGCCCGCCAGGGGACTCGCCGAGGAGGCGGCAGCGCGTGCCCCGGGCTCCAGCGGCCCCTGGGACCCCTGCGGCCCCGCCCGGTTAGGGTGTGGAGTGCCTCTGGCCACGTGGGCTGAAGGGCGACCTGAGGGACTCGGCGAGGGACACGGGCCTCCCCCGGCCGCCCCACGAGGTCCACCCGGAGCAGAGTCTGCGGCCGCCGACGGCGCCGTCCGGGACCAGCTCCAGCGCGCGGCCGTGCCGCTCCCGCGCAGTGTCGGTGCGGACCCGGCCTGCGCGCCGAGGGCCGGCGGGGCTGGACCGCGCCGGAGCCGAGCGGCCGCGCGTGACCCGCGCGCAGCTTCCGCCGGCCGCCAGGCCGCCTCCCCCGCTCCGCCGGCGCCTCCAGCCCGGCCGCGGCCGCCGCCCCCGAGCCCGCCCTGCTGCCGGCCCCTGACCCCGGCCCCGCCGGCCGCCTCCCGGGAAGCCTGACGTGCGTTTCAGAGTTGCCATCTCGCCGCCTCTGCTGGATCTGGGGACTCCGCGATTCTGCCTTGTAAATGAATGGCATTGGTCAAGGGCATTAGAATCTGCTGATGAGGTCATTACCCATTGATTATACGCCGGCAGGGGGCTCTTTCCTCTGCTTTCCACACAGACACCCCTGGTGGTTAATTCCCTCCTGAGAAATAACTGCCCACGAGCGCTAGTGACTATGAACTGGACCCACCCCAAGACGAAAACAGTACGTGCACATGCCCATTTAGTGAAAGTTACAGCCAATATGAACCAGGCGCTAAGCATTTCATTTTTTTCTAGGCCAGTGAACCTTGGGAACACATTTCTCTTCCAAAAAATCAGGACCTGATTTTTTTTTTTTTTTCCCATGTAGCAAGGATTAAATGTCACATTTTGATCCAATTTCATTTCTGAAGTGAAATAATCACTAAATAACTACTTCGGCAGAATAAATTAATTTTTAAATCTATTTTTTATTTTCTAATTATACTTTTTAAACACAGATTTGAGGAAATTAACATTTATGTGGACATTTGGTTTCTAGCCTAATGTGGCATAAAAATAAGTAACATAATGAGTGTTAAAAAAAATCAGGTTCATGATGCTTCTCACATCATCATCATTGTACTTAGATGTCACAACAGTATTATGTGCGATTGTGTCAGCTCCAGCCTTCTCCATCTCGGAGTGTTGGCAGGTAGGAGGGTTGTTGGCAAGAGGAGGGGTGTTAACCTCAGGATCCTGGATCCATTCCAAGACTGGTAATTACATTCTGCCAGCCAAAATTCATCCCATAATTTTAATTGGATAAATCCTTTCTGGCCTAAGCTACTGCTATGCCTGTCAAACTGTTGCCACATTTCACCCCAGAGGTGTCTGTGTTTTAGTAGCAAGAATCAGTCCCTTTGAGGTTGGCTTATCAGTTTAAATCCTCAACGTGCTTTGGAATCCTATGGAATTAAATATATATTTAGGTATTTTTTCCTACTGAATCTGCATAAAGGCATAAAATAGATATATAACCATGTTAATGCCTAAAAACCAATTCCCATCTAATGTTAGCAGATAATTTTGAGAGCTTTCTAACAGGATCGCTGTTCCTACCTTTCTCTTCTTTCCTTTTAAGAGCTTTTTACCTATAACTTTAGCTTCCATTTCCCAAAAAGCATTGCAGTGACCAGTTTCCTTCCATAGAGGACAAAGGAACTGAAACCCCTTGTATTTCACCTTTCCAAACAAGCCTATCTTGAGATTGCCTGCTATGGGGGAGAGTCAGAGTACTAACAGCAGGTGTAGCTTTATCGTGTCTATGACACCTAGGGCTTTGTGGTTTCTACCTGTAGCTACTGTCAGAAGAACTAACACATCCTCCTTGCATCTCCTAATCCTCCCCATGAGAATGTCTCCCCCTTTTAGGGCTGCTGTGATATCAAGATAATGTTTCTGAGAGCATCAACACCCTGGAGTTATTCAGTAAACCTTAGTTCCTCTCTCTCCTCTACTCAAACACAAATGGAAAGCAGGGGGCCAGTGTTCTTTATGAGGGGAGAGGGAACGGCAGTCCATGCCTGCAGACTATAAGCATGTCATTTTGGAAAAGACAAGGAGACAAACACCAGCATGTCTGATGGGAATTTTAGAAATAAGGTTGAAATTATTATTTTATTCTCTTCAAGAATGGAAAGGTGCCGCTGGTGTTAGTGTGGCTCTATCACATGTAACCCTGCCCATTTTCATGATTGAAAAGAGTCTTATGGCACATTTACAATGTATGTACATTAAGCTTCTCATTTTTATTTAACTTAGCATGCTTGGAGGGACTTTCCATACTTTTGGGGTGAATGTGTTATTCCTCATGTCTCCTGCAAGTTTACATTCAGAGCATTAGTTCTCTGTGCATTATGATTCCCATTCAGAAACAATCATTGGAAGAGAAAGCAGCTCAAAGTCCCAGGTGTCAGTTCTGTCACTGGACAACTGCGATTTCCTGACACTCCCATTGATTCCCTGTGAGACAAAGAGGACGCATATCTGTATTCTTCATTTCTATTTTTCAAGCAGGAATAACTTATTCTCATGGGTCTTAGCTCTACTGGCCCATTCAAGCTGAGTCAGGCAAAAGGGAGAACTTGTGTTTCAGTGTCACTTCCCAGATGCACTTGAACCCAGAACTTAGGTGCTGCTTGATCAGAGCAAGGACTGGCAAGTGAGGCCCTTTGGGACAAAAGTGGGTGTCCAAAAACTGGTAATGCAGTATTGTTAAAAACCAAAGTTGGGGGGCCTCCCCTGGTGGCCCAGCAGTTGAGCGCTGGGCTGCAAGGCTGTCCACAGTCTCTGCAGCGCCGGTTCAATCCCCGGCCATGGGTGAGGGTCCCACATGGCGCGCAGACCTCTCCTGCCGCCCGCTGCTCCCCTCAGCAGTGTACTTCGGTCCTTCTGCCTGCTCTGCTCCCCGCTCTGGCTCTGGTGAATTCTCTCGCCCTCCCGCGCTTCTGACTGTACCCAGTGCTTGTATAAATAAATAAATCTTTTTTTAAAAAAAATAAATAAATGAAAGCC